AAGGGCTGACGCAAATTTTTCAAATGTGGCACAAGCTATAGAGCATCCAAATGGGAGGCATTTATAGATATAATAATTTTTAAAATGAAAACCAAGCAGGGAAAAGTCTTCTGGGCGAATAGTAAGGAGTCTGAATGCACTAGAAATGTCTTTTTGCCTAGTAGGGCTCCCTGGCCCAGTTCTTTTATCATTCTTAATGTTGAGTCAAATGATGTATAATGAACAGTGCATAGATCTGGGTCGATAAAATCATTAACGGTATTTCCCCCAGGTGTGCAGATAAGTCACAAATCATACGTCAACCCCCCTGCTTTTTGGGAACAATACCTATTGGGCTGCACTTGATATTTGACATGGGAATATTCTTGAAGGACCCAGCTATTCTGCCTAATTTTACCTCTTGATCAATTTTTTCTTGAAGCTAATGTGGATTTGTTTGCATAGATTTCGTGTTTTTAGATTTTTGAAATTCCCGAATACCAGAATAGTGAATGTTGAAACCATATTGAAAACCATTGATTAATTCATGTGCTATGTGTTGCAATGGCTAACTTTTAAGCAATGATTTTAAGATGTTAACGTTGACTAGTGTTGGAGCCAAGTCTCAGAGGCCTTGGGTCGTTTGGAAGAGCCCTCTACCCTGAAATCTGCTTTGGGGCTGGCGGGTTTGTTCGGCTTGGGACAGTCGAGAGCTCTCTGTGCGAATTAGCTGATTGTTGTGCCAGCGGCAGTTTATGAGTGGGTGACCATTTGAGCATTTTATGCAAGCATGTTAAGTGCAGTATGGTCTGCCGCATGTACCTTTGTAATTGAAGTCAAAGCATTTGGGTGATTTAAAAGTATAATTAGGTACTTGCTTGGACAAGGTGGTTTGGCCATGGGTCACATAAAAAAGCCACAATTCTGCATCGACAGACCCCCAGTCCAGTGTGTGGTTCTAGATCGCTTTAACCTGAACTATATGTCGTAATTAAGCCAGTTTAAGTTTGTTGATCGCTGTACAGCGGTGCGTAAGATGTTAATGTATTTAAGGATTGGCTCTATGTGTTCTGGGAACTTAGTAATAGTAGTAATATTAGGAATGTATTTGTCCATGTTTCTATTAATGCTATTTTGATTTCCTTATGTTTAGGTTTCAAAACTAGCTCACCATCAACAAATGCCAGTTGTTGCTGGGGCTAGTCATTTAGTTTGAGGGAAAGCAATTTGTGCAGGTGAATGAATGCATTATCAAAGATATTTTTCCTCAAGTTATCAGAGTCATGCACGCCCAATGCGTCTGAAACGCTGTTTAAAGCATTTGGTGTATTTGCATCAAAATTGATATTAGTACATGATGCTGATGTACCTGCAGAGAGGACTGAGGGGTCAGATGCTGCCATTATTGATGTAGATGGTGCTGTCTTCACTGGGGTTTGGGTTGATAGAGCTGGTGCTGTCAACACTGAAGTTTGGGTTGATGGGGCTGGAGCTGTTAACACTAGAGTTTGGGTTGATGGAGCTGGTGCTGTCAACACTGGAGTGTGGTTTTCCTGGATGCCATGCTTGGTTGATACGACTGGTACTGTGGGTGCAGGTGTGACCAGGTTCTGTCGAGTCGTAGTATTAGAGATTTTCGCCTTTTTGGCGGCAGCTTGCAATTGGGCGCGTCCGGGTCTGGCGTATGGTGATTTGGAGACTTTTTGTACGGAGCATTTTTCTGCAAAACAAATGACTGTGTAATTTCGTGTTTACCATTGTATATTGCGTTTTTTTTTTAAATATTTTAAATTAGTTGCTTGAGGCTGTGAATGATTATGTGCCAAAGGTATCGTTATCGAAACGGAAAAAAAAAATAAAATTATAGTTTAAACCGATTTCTTTGTTATAGTTGAAATGCAGCCGTTAATAGATGATCTTGAATTGAGCCAGCTAAATCCGCTGGCATCTGATGGTGCTGAGGCGAAGGAAACGCCCAATTCGCTTCCAATTCCTCACCAGGTGATTAATACATACCGAAGTCCTGTGGAGCGATACTTATACAATACAATAATCCTCTTTATTTAGATGCGGCTTGGAGCTGAATTCTTGGTGATGTTCTCAGTTCTAAATTGATGAAGCGGAAAGGATTTGCGCGCAAGCGCATTAAATGACCTGGGGCTATTTGGGAAATTTGGTTGAAGCCAGGAGAGTTATCGCGCTTAGACTATTCTTCTTCGATAACTGGCACTTACTGCACATAACGGTAAATGCAATTAATTCAAATAAAAGACTATGTAAAGACCAAGTTATTCTTCTACACTTTTCTACATTTGCATTGGGCCTATGAAATTCTCAAACCTTTACTCCCTAATTTATATACTGTACGTGTACATAAATTGGCGTATTCAAAATTTAGCGCAATCACTAGGTATGAGTTGTTGGCGTATTCATGAATTAGCGCTACACATGTCCGTGCCGTGTGTTGTATATAATAATGATTACTTTGCGGTATTCATAAATTAGCGCATCGTTGTCTGCGCCCAAGCCGCTAAAATATGAAGCCCGCTTTTTTAGTACACATACAGTGTTTTTTATTATATTTTATAATATAATTATAAAATAAAATATTTTTATATTTATATAATAAACATTTATCATACAGAAAGTGATTACTAAACTTCCTTCGGTAAATAAACACATGTAATATGTTTCACACCACACTGAGCTACTTTCCAATGAATAATAATGTAATGTGCGCAATAGGGATGCCTGGCATACATATACTAAGTCCCTGTTGTATTATCCTGTAGTTTTCATTTATAAGTTAGCTTTATTTTTTCACTACATTGTTTTAATATTTTGTTAATTATGCAGTTTTTTCTACTGTTTGCGTAAATTCCAAAAACTTCATATGTATATCCCCTAGAAATTCTACAGAACGCTGCATTCTTTTCTCCATTTTTGCTCACGAGAAAAGCCTAGGTATCCATCTCCCACCCACTTTCTTCTTTATACAATCATTTTTCAAAATACGTTCCATCGTTCCATATGATGTTCCTATTTCAGTAGCAATGTCAACCACAGTACGTTGGCGGTCCACATCCATTAACGCTCTCAATTTGTCTACGAGGAAAAAACGACCTTCCAATATGAGGTCACACCTTTCATCATCCTCCACGGAAGTTCCATTTTTCTTAAATTTCTCACGCAACTGGAAAGCAACTGGCTTACTGCACTTTTGTCCTGCCTGTATCAGTAGTATATGCGTTTAAGTCGGAGTGTTCCCGAAATTTTCACTTATTACTTGACCGAATTTCGACGTTGTCTTACGATGTCATGATGAACAACAAATCATCAATAGAAAAACTAAATATCCAGTAAAATCGATAAAACTTTCACACAAAGGTTTATATGAGGTCAAGCTATCGTAATAATGACATCATTTTCGTTTCATATGCTAATTAACGTGTCTGTCCACAGTGAGTATTAAGTGTTGAAATAATAAACGAATGAATGTCTCCCCCGCATTTTTAAACATCCGTTTCTATTATGACAACTGTCAAAGTGTTACTATCATGAATATTTAAAATACTTTTTCTATTAAAAAAATTCAATAAGTGTATATATCTCCATCTGTAATTTTCAATCACTTGCACAAATAAATAAATAAAATATTATGAAATTCCACGAACTTTTGGATCAACCATCGTATATATGTAAGACAAGAGCCATAACCATAAATTGGTATGTAAATGTATAAGTACACAATGTCAACTACATATTAATCTTTTTTTAACACAGTGGAAAGCAAATGGAAAGCATAGTCCAGAGGAACTTTTCATTAAAAAAACGAACCTATCACCCAGAGGTTTACACATAGTAAAGTATAGTATAGAAGAATTTACTAATAGTATAACAAAGCACAGAAAGATTCACAGGATGGACCTACACCATTTAGTCAACTGAATGGTAACTGAAATGTCTGGAAATGTCACTGAATGGCAAAGCTGTGCCATTCAGTAACCTTTTAGTAGACTTTCAGTTTCCTTTTAGTTAATTGAATGGCAGGACTTCATCCTGTGGTTTACACCTAGTAAAGCATTGTATTGAAGAAGTTAGTCAGTTACTTAGTAAAATATAGCAGAGAGAGATCAATACATACTGAAGAAAAGCATAGAGGAACTTATTCATAGTAATACATACCTCAGAGGGATTTCCTCATACCGCATTGCACAAAGGGGTTATTCAGTAAAACAAGCACATAGGGTCTTATTTATAGTAAAGCATAGCGCAGAGGTTCTCATTTATAGTAAAACAAAGTACAACGGAACTTTCTTATACCGCATTGCACAAGGGGAGTTATTCATAGTAAAGCAAACATGTAGCAGAGAGGGACTATATTATGGTAAAGCATAGAACAGAGGGTCTTAAGGTCCTACACATAGCACAGCATATTACACAAGGACTTATTCATGGCAAAGCATATTAATGAGGGACTGTCTCATTGTAAAGCATAGCACAGAGGGACTTATTCATAGCAAAGCATAGCACAGAGGGACTTATTCATAGCAAATTATAGCACAGAGGATCTTACTCATAGTAAAACATACCACAGATGGAAATTTTAGTAATAATGCATAACACAGAGTGACGTATTTCTAGTGAAACATAGCGTATAGGGACTACATGTAATTTATTAAAAAACAAAGCATAGAATTACTTTTTCGTAGATATTTAAAAGCTTACAGAGAGCGTCATATTCATTGACAATAAAAGGCATAGCGCAGAGGGACTTATTCATAGATAAAGCAAACCCACTTACTCACATGTGAAGTCATATCACAGAGTGTTTTATTCACCAGCATTAATGATCTAAACAAAAACCGTTGCTTTAACTATTATTTGTTTGTATTATCGAATTACGAATGTTGAAGCTTTCTACATACTTTAAAAGAAAGATACATTTGGAATGTAAATTGTAGATTGACTTACCCATAATAAAATTTTATGGAACAAGGCAAGCCAGAAATAGGACTTACCCCGGGTTATTTTACAGATTTTTGCTGGGTGCCAGTCATTGCGCTGATTACAGAAAGAGCTCTGTACAAACACAGGGCTCTCACTCAGACATTCGGCAAAGACCTCTCCGCCTTTGTAGTTAAAACGGACACCTTTACCTGCAAAACGTAAAAGAAATAGGACAGTCCAAATATGCAATATCAGAATGGAATCGGGAGAATAATGTGTTAAGACTTGTTACATCATAATACTTTAATGTTTATCATCTGCAATTTGGTAAAGATTATATCAAATCCTTTATTCATAACCATAATTCTCAGACCGTTATTTGTAACCTTCTACAAATATATACTCGCCCCAGAAGCATGGCCTTAATCTAATCCTATGACATTTTCTGAAGGCCAGGATATTTCTTAAGCAACATGCACCATTTGTTTCAAGTACATGAGCTCCGATAAATTCTACAGTTCAAATGACCTTGCTCCAACACCCTCAGACATCAAGAAACTTCTCTACATATCATGAGCTTCTAAAATTAATTACAAAACTATAATCCCAGTTTTTTAATATTCATAATATTAATTTATGCTAACTTATTCTTTTCTAATTTTAACTTTAAATACATTTAAAATATAAAGTTGCAGAGCTGATACTATGCTATATATCCCGTAATACTACCGGAGTTCTGATGAGGGTGCCAAAGACCTTTTAGGAGGGAGGAATGTGGCATGTGAAATGTGGAATGTGGAGTTTGATTGCTGGTGGCCAGTTAGATCAGTTTGTGGAGCACCTGACAGGAGATTCAGGGGGGCCGGGTTCGAAGCCCGATCTGGTCAGTCGCATTTTTCTCCTCTACCTTACATTTGATGCAGTGCCATGCCCTGGAAGTGACAGGTGAAGACCTGCAATGGAAGAGCCTGAGTTGGTGTATTCGGGGGCCGAAGACCTTTCAGGAGGGAGGAATGTTGCTTTCAGACGAGGTTGATCGCCGGTGGCCAGAAAGCTCAGTTTGTGATGGGAAAATCAGGGGGCCTGGGTTCGAATACCGGTCTGGTCGGTCGAATTTTTCTCCTCTCCCGTTACAGTCATATCATACCCAAATAGATTTGTTTTTCGAAAAAAAATCAAAAGGTTGAATCTTCTCTCTCAGCCTCCCAAATACATCAACCAAGGCTTCTCCCTGGCAGGCCTTTTATCTGCAAGTCCAGGGGTGGTCAACGGCACCAAATATGTAAAAGGAGAGGAGAAAAATGCGTTGGACAAACCAGGAGTCTGAACCGGGCCCCCTAGATTTCCAATCAAGTACTCTACCTACTAAGCTATCTGGCTATCGGCGATCAAACCCATCGTACCGCCATATGATTATCCTGCAAAAAAGTATGGGGAAAGGAGGGGGAAGCGGCCTTTCAGTGAACATTTTCGACAGTGAAAGGTTATGCTTAATTGAATTGGGAGGGGGTGGCCAACCTGATGATACGTGCTTGTAATGATGAATCTATGTGAAAATATATTTTATTCCGCAGCAGTGTTAAGGCGTACTTCGACGAAATCAACGGAATATAAAAGTGCATAAATACATACCTTTTTAAGCTGAATTTATTTTCGTATTATACTATATTATCACATGATTTTGATATTATTTGAACTAACATTGTATACCCCTCTCTGTACCGAATTTGGTTTGGTCACTTTATTTGACAGCAATGTGATATATGCATGTATTGTGTACTATATGTAGGTCACAAACAAATTTCAATATCGCAAGGCCAAACCCTACTTGAAATAAAAAAATTAAGTAATAAATTGTTTCTATATCACTTGTAGTCTTTGGAAAATGCTACTGATTTAAATAGAATAACATTGTATTAATTTAAATTTCAAGTTATATGGCTTTCGTCGAAATATGTGTGACCTTTACCAGGTATTTTATGTATTTATTAAGTTATGCACTCGATTTCAGGAAAACAGCAGCACTTTTCAAGTTAAGGAATGTGTCGGTTATATATGTTCAAAAAATGGTCAAGATCTATTCAGTGTATGCCCTTGCGAAAAGGCGATTTAATGAGGCACCTCGGCGTGACACATGCAATCCCTATAGACAAAAACACAATAGAATTAATTCAATACATTCTCTCGATAGTTTTTAAATAATGGCACTAAACAAAGGTTTAAGATTTGTATTAATAGTCTACCTATGATTTGCAAATAATACTCTGTTTAATAAAAAAAAAAATGCATTTTACACTGTTAAAAAATTTCTTGATCGCCCTCTCACTGCACATTTTACCATGATGACGTCATGTCGACAAGTTCATTGCGACTTGTTTATATCTTCCTGTCTGGGATTTAACTAGCGACAAAAATGAATGCAGTGGTAAGTTTTGATGTAGTTCATTACCCTTATGCAATTTGGAATCGCACATTTTCATTTTCTGTTCTTTTGGGGAATTGCTATATTTGTGTGATGTCACAGTAAACTTTTCCCATATAAATTTGACCCCGCCCTCTTGACGCAGCTTTAATAGAGCTAATTTCGTTAATTTCAAGAAGTGTTTGTACAATGTATTTAAAAAATGTTATCACTAAGCAGTATTGGTAACATTTGTAAAAATTATGCTATGCAATAAAATAAATAGAATAAACAACCCTTGAAGATTAAAGTTGAAATTTTTAGGGGACAAAAACATTCAAGAAACCTGTTGGACAAAATGTTCACCTGAGCTAGACTAGGAATAAATCGATGATATGTTGATCTCATTATATTATACAATTATTGCTGTCAATTCGATGATTCAGAATCTAGAGGAGTAAAAGATATATCGAGCCCAAACGGGCGAGATGGACATTGTTTTTCAATGGTGCAAATCGTCCTACTGACAGAAAAAACACCAACAATTGTTATATTATATGATTCAATGATTAAATTGATACAAACTGATTAAGCAGACATGTCAAGTTTCTTTTTCACATTTCCTCAAGTCCTAGCCAAACACAGTGAGAGAATCGGAGTTTCCATAAGTATAACCAGTATAAATTTTGCATTTGAAATTTATCCTTGGTGCAATTTAGAAAAAATAAATGTCAGGCATGGCATCAAAAGAAAAAATGGGGCATTATAATAGGCAAAAATGAAAAGTTACCTTAGAAATATCTATGCTGAACCCCTCAAAAAGTTTTTTGATGTAAGGAAGATTTCCTTTTACTCTACTGTATCAAAAAGTTACGGGTAGGGCAACCAGACTTGCAAGGAACATTTTCAAGCGGAAAAAAATACAGAATTTACGTTCATGAAAATGTAAGGGGAAGGACATCCCAATCCACCCCTGATTCTATGCGCCTAATTATATGTTCATCTTGTCCACTCAAGTAGGAGAGACTTTTTTAACTATACTGTATAAAAAAGAGGGGGTGGTTATAAAAATTTCAATGAACATTATCAGACTAGATATTGCTAAAATTTACATTTAAAAAAGTGTGTGTGTGTGTGGGGGGGGGGGGGGGGAGATGCATGTATAAAAGAGTTTAATATTTTGAAAAACAGAAGGGCTCCTTTGAATAAATTAAAATAACTGTAAAATGTGACCGTGTTGGAAATAATATCCTATTAAATACACATAATATGTATTATGTAAAGTAATTGAAATGTAATTGAAAAGCAATTGAAATTACATGGTATTTTTTTTTCACTGTAATTAATTATATTCAATTACAAGTAATTGAAAAATGGTCAATTAAAAATTACTTCCAATTACTTTGAAAAATGTAATTAATTAAACTCAATTACAATTACTTTTATCAATTACCCCATCCCTGGCATTTAAATGTCTTCAATGATAAATAACTACAATGTTAACTGAAACGTGACCATTTCAGAGGAAAAGATGAAAATCATGTCCATACTTTTTTGAGGAATAAATTTCATTTTGTGTGTGTGTGTGTGTGTGTGAGGGTGTGTGTGTGTGTGTATGTGTGTGTGTGTGTGTATGTTTGTGTTTTTTTATGTTTGTACTAATTAAAAACAGAAAAGAATTGATCCTAGAAGAGTGTGCTAAATCAGTCAGTATGGTTTCTGAAGAGTTTTTCTTTGGAAGAATTTGTAAAAACTAAAATAATGAAAAACATATTTCTTCTTTTAGTGAAAAATTGTTGCAAATTGATTAACAGACATAAAAATGTTTGCTTTATATGGCCAAGCCCTTAAATAAATACCACAGCAAAATTTCAAGGTGGTTCCACAAAATTGGGGCAACCGGAAGTTGGATTGATTGGGTATGGACACCAAGGCAATGAATGTCTAGCAGGCGATATGATAGTCAATCGCTGCGTATTATTTGATTTTAACTGGGAGACTGCTTCTGATGTAACCTCAGGAACCATCATCGGTTATTTCCAACTTCATATCTGGGCATAAAGGGGGCGCGATGCATGTCGGGAAATTGTTTTTCGGGCAAGAAGGTAATTTTAGGGTCTTGTCATGACACCAAGACATTTGCTAATCCCACTGTATTGGAAAAGAGGGCACATTATATATATGCTAATACCGATTCAGCAAATGTTCAATTCACAGAAAAGGAAAAAAAATGCGTAAGCAATTTTGTCTAGTGTAAATGTAATGCTGTTTTTATATTGTATTTAAATTAAGCATTCGTCCAGTGTTGGTCAAAAAGGGGTAAAGAAGAATTGAACATTGAGGTTCAAATCTTGGCATCAATCACCTGTTATAAATTTTGTATCACTCTGTTGGAAAAGGGTTCAATTTTAAACGGTGGTCGTTTTTTGTAGGACGCATATGTATAAAATAATGATCTCTAGGGATTTTCTACAAAAAATAATTTTTTATACGGCTGGGATCGTTTTTTGTCGTTGAAAATTGATCCCCAGGTCATTATTCTATGGGGGATCATTATTCATGTTATTCGTCTTTACATCGGCCCTCAATTGATTTCTAAAAAAAGTCGATACAATGACCTTGTCAGCAAATACAATTTATCATTGAGTCAAATGCTGACTGACGTTTTTCATAGTTAGTCTATTTGTTAGGCAATTATTTACACACTGAATTGTCGAAGGATTTTTCCGTTATTTCCCGATCATGACAAGGAGCACACGGCGGGTGTGACCGGTCGGCAGGGGATGCTCACTCTATGGTACCTGATCC